AACTAGATTGCTTTCTTGCAGACATTTCATTACCCAACTAGGGTACTGATGATATTACCTAATTGGGTAACATCTGCAAGAAAACGATCAAACTTGGAGAGCACCAAGGACCTCATAAATCTGCTAGTATTTGGTCTACCTCGTGACACAATTCATTTTAATTAGTTTATGCATCACAAGTTAGCAGAGAACCACACACTGCATTAGAAGCAACTCCAGAACTCTCTGCCAGTGAAAAGGAGCTCGGGAGGGCAGCCCTCCCGAGCTCCGTTTTCAGTGGCAGAGGGTTGCAGGAGGCCATGGCAGCCAAAAACAGAGCTCGGGAGCCCGTTTTCACTGGCCGAGGGATCAGGCCACCACAGGCGCCCCTGACACGAGTGCTCTCAAGCTGTCCATCCCATCCCAGCCCCCCGAGGTCAAACACAACCCTGATGTGGCCCTCAATGAAATTGAGTTTGACATTTAATGGGCAAAAATGGGCACTGGTTGCTTTCTGCAATAGACAACAAAACAATGGAAAAAGAAGAGGAGGAAGGACCAAGAAGAAGAGGAAGCAAATTTAAATCAGTGGGTGTCAATACATTAGTCACTCGAGCAAGAGAAGTGATGATATTCTCCCTGGAGGAACTATCCAGTTTATATTTTGGAAAAAAAAAAAGAAGCCAGGAGGAAGGTGATTTAGTTTTAACCAAGAAAACCAGCTGTGGTTTTTCTCCTCACATTTTGAATTCTAGCCCTCCCCCTCCCCAAACAGCAAAAAGCAATCATAATTTAAGAACTGGATGGGAATCTTTGGCTCACAGACCATCTGACCAACTTATTCAAAATATTAGGGTTTGCTTTGAGCTGGATTTTGTTTTGTCTCAAAAGATGCCTTTATGGTGAAACTGGATTGGATTGGATTCGTGCAACCCATATTTATCAGTGGAATGGCTTGTCTCCAGAAGCTGTGGGTACTCTAATTCTGGAGGTTTTTAAGAAGAGATTGGACATCCATTTCTCTGAAATGGTATAGGATCTCCTGCTTGAGTAAGGGGTTGGACTAGAAGACCTCCAGG